TGTACGTCAAGCTTGCCAAGTGTGTCTTCTGTGCCGACGAGATTCCGTGTCTCGGGGACTTCGTAGGACGCAACGGTGTACGGATGGATTCGGACAAGGTACAAACCATCAAGGACTGGCCAGTACCACGAACACAAGAGGAACTTTACAGCTTCCATGGGTTGACTGGCTACGTCCAGCGATTTTGTCCAGACTACGCAGCATTTACTGCAACAATGTTCACTCTCTTGAAGAAGAAGAACAAGAGGAACGCGAAGATCCAATTCAATGATGAGCAGTTGAAGAATTTCAAGGAGCTGAAGAGGCGACTGTGTAATCCTCCAGTGTTGCACCTCCCTAACTTCAGCCAGTCCATGCATCTGCGCACTGATGCGAGCAAATTCGCTGTTGGTGGAGTATTATTCCAAGTCGTAGACGGGGTTGAGCGACCCATTGCCCATACCAGTCGAAAGATGAAATCAGCGGAGCTCAACTATCCAACACAGCAGCAGGGGCTATTTGCTATCGTACACGCGCTAGCAGCTTTTCGAATTTACTGCTTGGACAAACCACCGATCGTCGAGCCGGATCACAAAAGTCTCGAAGGGTTGTTCACACAGAAGATGGCGAACCGCCGATTGGCTAGGTGGTACGACATTCTAGCTGAGTACCAACCCACGTTCACGTATCTTCCAGGTGCGAAGAACGGCATCGCGGATGCATTGAGTCGCAGACCTGACTTGCAGCCAGATACAAAGTATTTCCATGACCTGAGTGTGTCCAGCTTCAACGACACTTCCTTTAGTCTTGCTCTTAGTCAAGTGTCTACAGATTCAGAGCTGCTGAAGAGGATCAAGGGTGCTTATGTCAAAGATCGAGATGTCCAGACCATCCGGGCAGCAATCCAGCGACGTACAAGCACCTCAAAGTCGAAGGAAAAACACCAGCACCACAAGCTATACCGATACTATTCGGAGGCAAACGGCTTGCTGTGGTACCAGTCTCCGGTGGATGATTATCCTCGAATCGCTGTTCCCAACGATGTGAAGTTGAGACAATCGATAATCAAGGAGAGTCATGACACCAACTACAGTGGCCATCCTGGTGCCGAGCGAACGTACTTGACGTTAGCACGACGCTGGTACTGGTCCAAGATGCTCAAGTCGATCCAAACGCTCATTGCTGACTGCGAACCATGTCGACGAACAAGCCAAGGCTGACAAAGCCTCCTGGTTTACTCGAACCATTATGTATTCCCGATGAACGCTGGAGATCGATCTCCATGGACTTAATAACGGATTTGCCTAGAACGAAGCGTGAAGCTGATTCGATTTGGGTCGTCGTCGACCGACTGACCAAGAGATGCCACTTTGTGCCGACAACGAAGAAGGTAACAGCCGAAGGCGTTGCCCGTCTCTTCATCGACAACATTTGGAAACTTCACGGTATGCCGACGATTATTGTATCCAACCAAGATAGGAAATTCGTGTCTGCGTTTTGGCAACACGTCTTCAAGGCTTTCGGCACGACACTCAGCATGACAGTGGCACACCGGGCCCAAGGCGACGGACAAACTGAGCGAATGAATCGAACGCTCGAAGAGTATCTTCGATGCTCCGTCAGTCCACGTCAAGACGACTGGGACATTCACTTAGCGAACGCTGGGTTTGCCGTCAACTCAGCGGTGAACTCCAGTACCAAGCTTGCACCGTTCGAAGCGGATCTAGGGTATATCCCGTTGAATCCGCTACAGCTTGCAGCGGAGCAACTCGATGCGGTTGCAAAGAGTCGTCGAGGCACTGAGTTTCACGAGCGCCAAGCAGCTATTCTTTTTAGCTGCCGTGAAACACTTGCTCAAACGCAAGAGCGAATGCGTGATGTCTACGACAAGAACCGACAAGAACAAGTCTTTGAGGTTGGCGACCGTGTGTATTTAAGCACCAAACACTTGGTCCCCAAGCACACCGGTCTGCCGGCATCCACTAAGCTCGGTCCGAAGTGGATTGGACCTTACTCTGTTGTGCGGAAGATACACAGCCATGCTTACGAACTCAACATTCAAGCTGGCAACAAGCTTCATCCAGTATTCAATACGGGTTCGCTGGAGCCGTACAACGCCGCCACGCTTGTCACGGCCCAACGAGGTTGTACTGGCGGATGGAAGTATCGGCCAGATCGTCAAACGCTTGGTGAAGAAGAGGACACACAAGCGACGAACCCAATTCCTTGTGGAGTGGGTGGGAGAAGAGAAGCAGACCTGGAAACCGGTTGAAAACTTGTCACAAGTCCCAGATCTAATCGTAGGGTATGCGACTGCACGGCGCAAGAAACGAAAGAGAAAATGAAGTAAAATCAATTTAACAAAGGCCTACATGTATTCCCGTACTACATCCCCTCCAAGTTGAAGCTACTGCTGCATCAAGCGACTCTTCCGGTTACGCGCCGTCTTCGAAGTGGGTTTGCCGTGGCGACACACGTACCAAAGTTGAAGCTGAACACGACTAATCCACTTTCCACTCTCAATCCAAAGGTAGTTTGAGAGAGGAGACACTTCCATCGGTGGATCGTGGTCAGCCGAGTACCCACCAAGCACGACCAGGCGAGCATTGGGACCAGTCTTCACCACGACGAAACAGTGACCGATGTCATCCTGGCCCGCGCTCACCCGGAACCAAGGCTTCAAAAAAGTGTTTCAGAGTCGCAACACTCCCGATGGATTCATGAAGAATATTGGGAAGCATGATGCCTTAGTCCAGCGAAACACTTTGGTGCTGAAGCGTTTTCCAGAACTCCGTGACGTCTTCGCGAGATACGCCAAACGCAATCGCCTCGGGACGAGTTTTCACATACTCATCCCACATCTCCATGGTAACCAGATTGGGCCGACCAAGATGGTACAGTGCGCAGCGGAACGCATCCATGAAACACGTACCAGCTTCGGAAGCACTAGCACAAACGTCGTACCACCCCACTCGTCGCCATTTTGCATCATGTACCGCGTCGATTCCTTGTCCAGCGACTCCATCCAGACTGTACTTGCTGATAGAAAAATGCTGTCGATATACAGTGGGGGGGGACTCGCTGGGCCGGGTGTCTCGCTGAAGTTGACTGACTGAACTCGTGCAAGCGCCGTGGATTGCACGGTTTCGACTTGCTCATCTTTGGAAATGATAGTTTTCTTTTCTTGGGCTTTTCTCGGATGCAGCAGGGTCGCGCACAACCAAGAACATACCCGTTAAACGAACCTGCAGCAAAATATTCGCTATTTCTTCAGGAATTATCGTTTTAACAACCTCATCAAATCGGCCCACTGTCACTTTCCAGTGAAGAAAAGAATTCGCGTCCGCCAATAGTGACGGGGTTCGTCACTGACAAATCGGAACAATGAATACGCACTCAGCCATTGGAGCTGGGGACGCCGAACACAAATATCCATAACTACCGGTAGTGACAGTAGTGCGCCTTCACTGAAAATCAGATCGATCGTTTCCTGCGAGAAGGAATCTTCACTGTGAGCCCGCGCTTCTCGGAATTTATTGAAGCTCCTTCGAACGATAAAAATATCGTTTAGGAGCAATGCTGGAGTAATAATGAATGCAAACCCACGACAAAAAACACTCGAGCACCATTATTTTTTTCCTGTCCTTAGCGAGCGTTGATTATGACCAATAGCAGCGCTTTATTTAAAACAGATGGCTGTGCGTTAATGTGAGCTTTAAATACTTGTAGGAGGGGCTGATAAGGCAATAGGAAGAGCGACAGCGTACAAATAGGTAGAGCTGTTCGACCGAAATGTTATTAGCAGCCCTCAGCGGTGGGCCACTTTGGAGGTAGTGGAGACAGGTCATTTACAAACGGAATACATGTATTTAACTGGATCAGCTAAGGGCTATTTTTACTTTTAGCAATAACTATGAGATGTGCTAGTAATCTTACCCGTAAACGTCGAGCAGGGGCGTTCGCTTAGGACAGGGGCGATGCGGTACGTGGTGTGGAATTGATGACCTGGTTAATTTTTGGTACATTCGTGGGCGTTTGGCAAGCACAAAAACACTATATATAGCAGTGGCATTTAAGGTTGAAGAAAAAATTAGCATGGCGACTGCAGCAAGATCGGCGGCATCAATGCGTTCGTGGGGATCCGCTTGCTTTCGTTAAGCGATGGACTGGGCTGATGTTAACTTACGCACTAGCTTCTGCGCGTAAGAAGGTGTTTCGCTCGACCGCAGGACTGACAATAGATCAGCAGCTTCAAATGACCGCACAGTTGCCAGGATCAAGGTGACGATGTCCTCAAGGTAAATCCATCGACGTACTATCTTAACTCAACATGCCTAACACATTTTGTACTCAATAGACCATTCGTCAAATGAAAAAAACGTCAAAGAACCAGAAGCAGACAACGAAAACAAACACTCTAAAGGTGCGACAAATAACGAACAGAACAGAAGAAATGTCATTTATTAACGCACAATATTACGCAGTTCGAATGGCTTCAGGAACACAGCCACCTGAAAAAGTTAGAAGAGGTGTGGGAGGAACTGTACTTGCCGTGTAGTTTGACTTGTATTTAACAAAGCTCGATGCTACAGAACTGCTCCAAGGATCTCGAATCGTTGCTGCTGCGCATGTACAATGAGGCGAGTACAGCACGAGAGTCAAGCACAAATAACGTTATTACGCCCCGTTCTGGTGGTGATAACCAACGGGACGTCGACCATGACAGTGGCAAAAGTCCCGTGTCTGCGTCCATATCTACCAGCACAATTTACGCTGCGGAATTGGAAGACCTCATTCGGACAGAACAACTCAACCGCGTTGCGTTACTCAACCAAGTGGCATCAGAACGGGAGCAGGTACAACGCTGTCTCCATTGTTGACAAGATAATACCGGGGTTGTTCCTGACCTGTATGATTAACTACTGTAGAGAGCAGCTTTAAAGCAGTTCCTGTCCGCTTTTACTCAAGAACACGGTAACAACTGCCTCTCTGAGGAGAAACCCCGGAGCTTATCGAAGGAAATGCAGGTATTGCCGAGCTTGGGCCTCCGGTTTAGTAAATTCTCATTTATTGTAACGTTATTATAGGTCAATGTACGCCAGCTGATCTACGACGCTGTCATCGGGCGTCAAATGATTGAAGCTACGTTGGAAGAAAAAGTACAGTCGTGCGAGCGAGAGTTCGATGCTTGCTATCGTAAGGTATTAGATACCCTACGGAGCGGTGCCTCAGTAGTAAGTGGAGATAAACAGCAGAGTCAAGAGCAGAGAATCGCTGCAATGCTCGACGCAGCAGGAGCGAACGAGTGCGCTGACGAGATGCTGAGACTTGAGATATACCAAGCATTTCAAAAGGTTTTCGACCAGCTTGAACAAGATCTTGCAGAAGACGAGAGAGAATTCGTCAGCGCTGCATCTGCTAGTGACGCAGCTGGTAACATTGAAGCTGCATCGTCCAGAAGTGGTGGGTGGAATGAAGCAGAGGAAGAGCTATTTCTCACCGTTCTTCGCAGCTATGAGAAGAAACAAGGAGCTGGTAAAAATAGTTTATTATTGTACGATCAACTCGCGTTAGTACTGCCCACTGTCCCTCTCTTGGAGATAAAGAAACACGTGAAATTCCATCAGCATCTTCGCTTCTTTCAAGAGAAACGGAAGGATCGACAACGGGCATTTAAACGGAAAGTGGACGAGCTTCAGAGTAAAGCCAGTTGCAGATTTCGTTTATCTGCTGAGCAAGAGAAAGAGCGAGTACGGAGGCTGCAAGAGCTGAGTGAGATGCAGCAGCAATGCGAACAACGGCACCAACAGGTTTCTCAGTGGCGCGAGACGAAAGAAGCCAAAGAACGGATAGAACGACAGCAACGGGAGATTGAACAATTACTAGAAACTCAGAGACAGCGTGAGGGAGAAGTGCAATGGCAACGAAGACATGATCAACAGAAGTATGCTGTCGACGAGTATAAAAAAGGGAAAATACTGCAGAAAATAGCCGAGGAGAACCGTACGATGGAAGAAGAGCAACGACGAGAACGAGAACGAGCGCTTCAAAGTGTCGTTAATGCTGAAAGAGTGCAGTACCGACACGACGAACTCCAGGTTCGTATGGGTTGTATTATTTTTTTTTAGTACTTGAAAAAGTTTTATACTCATTTGGATTGTTGTAGCGCAAAATCGACGAGTTGAAACATCAAGAACTTGATCAAGCTCGTTTGGAAGAACAGCGATTGGCCAGGCTGAACGAGTTGAAGGAGACAACACCTTACGCTCAGATCGTCGCCAACATAACAGTACGAATATTTGAAAAAGTATTTTTTTTACTGTTATCGCATATATTTTTTCTTTGTGTCACTGTAGCCAGACCCGGAACGCACTCGACAGGAGACTGCTGCCTTCCGTGCTAACGTCGAAGCTACCCAGGAAGGTCTTCCAATTACTGTACGAAGTTGGCCTTCCCCTTTTCGTCGCTAGTGTACTCATCTTTGTTACTGTAATAGGAAACGGGATTGTTTCCGAGTCATGGATACGACTGTGAGACGCTATTCAAGAACGCAAGATTCAAACTGGGCATTGCTCTACGGGTATGTTATTGCTACATTGTAGACCTTGGATGTCGCTGCTTACTCTTTTTTTTTTTAAAGAATGCTGGGCTAAACTCGAGTGAGTATGCGCGTCAAGCACTAGCAAATGTCAAGGTCTGCAACGTAGGAGCGTACAGAAATCACGTTGCCGAACCTACCAAGCTTTGGTAATAACCTCTAAGTTAAAAAAAAAACTTTTTATTTAAAAAAAAACAAATGTTTAAGCGACGAATTGTAAGGCACCTAAATCATAAAATAGGTTCGATCCAGTAGCCAGTTGCGTGTTAAATTTGTGCAAACTTTTCATCGCTCGTTTTCGCAGTCCGAATTGTTCCTGCGCCGTCGTTTGGATCATATTTTCCACTTGTTGCAGTCTCGAAGCCAGCTCCGCCTTTGACAGCGCGGCATTCTGCGCTTGTATCGACTGCGACGCTGCAGCTTGTCGTCTGTGCGTTCGATTCATCCACTTGACACAATTCATCTGAAGTCGACGCGTGCGTTTGTCTGCATGAGAAGAGGCTTTGACACTCTGCATCGCCTCTTTAAGCTGAGATCGTTCCCTTTTTAAGTCTTGCAAAGAGCTCATCGCTTGAGCAAAGCGCGTATTACTAAAACTAAATCTTCCAAGAGTCTGGAAAATAATGTAACAATAAGTGAGATGTTACCAACCATTACCAGCTAATTGTTACATAAGTTACCAAATGCGTGTCTCGACTCCAAAGTCTCCAGTCGAATGTGTCATACATTCCCGATAGTTTGTCCTCGTCACTTGGACGGTTTATTATCTTTTGACAGTGTCCCTCCTCTCGTGTCAAGAGATTGCGACTCGCATTGTGGCGTTGCAACCGGCAGCTCAACACGCCTGTGTCGGTGTCCAGCGCTTCCTGGCCTTTGGACAGCAGTGTGCGAGCGCGTTTCTGCCATATTGGGCCTAAACAAACTCCCTGTTCAGCGTTACGAGCCACACACGCCACTCGACAAAGCTCCTGTACGTCCATGAACTCCCAAATGTGTTGTTTACATTCATCCGCGAGCTCCAGCAGCATGCTTGTCGCTTTCTTATCCTTCTATTGAATCCTAATATTTTTAGTAAATTTAGAATTTTTGTTTCAGAAAAAAAACTCTCAACATGGCTACTTTCAGTAATTTGTATGATAAAAGCGGCTCGAATTTCGCTTGTTGCGGAGGCTGTACCTTGTCTCAATACGAGGACGCTTACAATGGAGAATTTACGACGGGATCGCTCGTTCCATCAGCTGATAACGACCAGCAGCCGGCGTGTTTGGTGACATTCCCGTATGATCCTGCACTGAAAGAACAAGTTGGTGAACGACGTGTAAGAAGAGATCGACCAATAGGCGCCAGCTATCCGATCGACAATTACTATGTACAACTATCTATGCTGCGAATAAGGCGGAGCTTGCCGTTCTCAAAACGAAGACTCATACGGGAAATGTCAATGTACAAAACCATGGGGAGACACTGGCAATATTTCAGAAAACGCTAGCTTGGGGGAGGGCGCGCGAAACGAGAAGTGCCGCCCCCGCAGTTCAGGCGGATAAAACCTTCTAGAAGGTTCCACGGCCGCCCTACATCCGCCTTTCTGTATTACATACTGAATCTATGTTAAGCTGAGCCTGCCTCTGATTGGCTACAACTCTACACCTATCATATCTGATACACTCACCCTCCCTCTGGCGTGCGCGTCCCCTCAGTCTTGCCATTCCCGAAATTGCGCTGAAGGCCAGAGGTGCCGTTCCCCGTCGAATTAGTCCGACCCCGCGTTTACCCACGCCTGCCTGGTGCGGGCTTGTTTACTTGGGGCTTAGATAGGTCCGTCCTGGGGGATGGCTGTGCCTACTGCGTCTGCTGCTGCCGCTACTAGCTCGCCTTCCGCCGCTTCCTCGCCTCGCTCGCCGACGCCGCCTGCTCCTGCTGCAGTTCCAGCTGCCATGGTCAATGCTCCTGCTGGTGCTGTAACCCCGCCGTCACCCGTACGGTCGTCTATTGCTCCCTCGTCGCCTGTACGGGCTCCTGTTGTTTCCTCGTCGCCTGTATGGGCTCCTGTTGCCCTCTTGTCGCCTGTACGGGCTCCTGTTGCTCCATTCCCAAGCGACGCGGCTGCCGAAGCTCCTGGCTCAAGTCTTGTGCCTCCCCGTTCGTCTACGTCTCCTGTTGGCTCCTCTTCGGCTACGCCTCACGACGTCTCTGCGTCGTTGCCGCCCATCGTGCTCTAGCAAATCATCTACGAGGTCACGATCGAAGGGTTGTGTGGAGATGACGTTGGTGGTTATGTTGCGGCCGATGATGCTAGTGATGATAGCGTTGCAGCTGAGGATGTTCCTCTTCAAGAGGTTGGATTGTTTAGCGACGAAGATGAGGAGGACACCCAACGGCCGAAGCGCGCTCGGCTTCGTCGTGGCGATGAGACGTCGGACCGGCATCCCTTTTTGCTTCCCAAAGCTCCGGAGAGACATCCAACCACGAACCATCGCAACCACTATAATCCGGATGCTCCTTGGGATTATGCGATCTCGGCTGGAATTACACGCTTGCTTGATGTCGAAGGGGAATCACCGCACCGCTGCTATCTTGTTCAGTGGAAAGGTCGTCCGATGCAGATGGCGATGCGATAATCGCATTGATCAATGGCATTTTGAAAAGAAGGTTAGAATTTATCCCGACTGGGTCAACAAATCAATTTATCCTACCCGATTGTCGCCCCCCCCCCCCCGAATCCGGGCGGTGTATAATGTGTCTCAACACGTATATCCGTGGCAGCCACAAATCAAAACCAACGGTCCGAGCGGGGGAGAATTATGGACCTACAAGAGCGCGTTACAAATAAGTGCCCTCTGGCTGTGTGTGATGTCGAAGATAGTCGTTGCGTCGGATGTCTCCCAAGACGATGTCTGGCAGTCAGCCCCGCCTTCGAAGCCTTTGATGAAGGCCAATCAATCTACGAAGAGGGGGGGGGGCAACAGAGGGTGCGAGTAGCGGAGAAGCGCTGGAGTCAACTAGCAGCGAGAGCAGAAGGCCGTATAATGTGGTCGCCCTTCGCCGCGGCAGATGCATTTTTTTCTGGGGAGGCCTTCGAGTTCTACATGCCTGCATACGAGGCCCAGATATGCCAGGTACAATAGCCAAACGATTTGGTATATTCGAATTGTATCTTTTATTGGCTCATGCATCTGCAAAATGCACTATGTGGTGCCTTTATCCGTGCTTTAGGCGTTTAAGTCTCGTTCCAATACTACAGCGACTGAGCGCAAAGCTCGAATTGACAAGAAACAGTCGAAGGCGGTCAAGATCCCTCACAGCTATATTCAGTATAACATAGAGTTTGCTGCACGCACCACGGCAAGTACAAGTCCCAAGCTTCGATCAAACGGCCAGAGCAGGAGGTTCGTGCGAAGGGAAGCTTTGGTGCAGGTATGGCCAGGCCCAGTCAGGTCCTGATGGGTTCAGTTGGGTTCAAGGACCCAGTCATATCTAGTCGGATTCTTATCGGGACCGGTCGGACTCAGTCTGAGTTGCTTTATTATCTGTTGATATGACGTCACTGATCTGTTGTATTTGCAGATAAACGCTTGTGGCCAGGTCGTTGACGAAGACGTTTGCAATCATAATCACGAAGTGCCAAATGGAGCACAACCGCCGCCTTTCTGCTCATTCATTTCGCGTACACTCGTCTAGTCGTCTGGAACTAGACGATGCTGCCTTGCAAACAGCTGATGTTCTGAGAAAAGCTGTTGAAAAAAAAACCAGCATCATAAAATATATCACTAAGCACTCAAATTGCAACCCAACCTCCCTAGACGAACAAAATCTTGTCAGGAAGCAAAAGACGCGCGAGGCCAAAGAAGGACCAAGTAACAGTGACAAACGTTTGAAGAAATGGATGAGGCAATTTGGCGATCAGCCTGCAAATGCTGGACGGATGTTTCTTGACGACATGAGCCAAATGGTAATCGAATTAATCTTCGTCTCGCTCACTTTGAAATACAAATTAACAGTTTCGTTGTTGTGTGCTCAAAATTTAGAAAGTTGCAGCCTGTATCACGATGCTGAAGTTCGCTCCTTTGTGGATTACCTTAAGCGAAATTGGGATAATGTCGTACCTTGTGGTGTGCCCATAGACGACAGAATTAATCGACGCTAGAAAACGGTGGGCGAAACGAGAGCCAAGACCAAGTGGGATACATTTTGGCGCTACTTCAAAAACATCTGGATGAGCAGCTACGGTCTTGATCCCTGGAACGTCATCAGCATGCAGGCGGCGGGGATTGATCTAACCAACCAGACGAACAATCCTTTAGAACGCTACATTCGTACGCTCAGGGATTGCTCTCGGTTACGCACCAAGTCTCCTTGCTTTCGTAGAAACAGGGAAAGGTAGATGTGTGTCACGTGATCTGTAGACGAACGGAGCTCGGAAGAGGACTTATGCTCGAAGCGGTGAAATGAAGACTGAATTCGAAATTAATGAAGTGAAATGTGTGCTACGAGCTACGTCCGTTACCTAGGCTGCAGAGGGAGATTAGTTGCCGTGATTGTGCACGTTCGCAGGTCGTTGCAAAACGGACGCTGCTGCTATAGGCTTCACGCCTGCGAGCTGAACTGGCATCGTCACAGTTCCTCCCGTAGACGCGCAGTAGCGCGAGTTTGTGAAAGTGTGTTAATATATCGACGAATAAGACTAATGACTTGCCGCAGGTTGTCCAGTGGTTCCCACGATGGTTTTACAGTCGAGTCCTGCCACTGCACAAGGTATTCTGTTTTAGCCTTGCGCTTCCTGTGCTTGTGATTGATTTCACTAGGTGTCCAATTGAGCCATCCGCAGTAATTAACGGCTGGATTCGATTGATACGGCTTGTAGATGGATCGAAATGGTACGGACGTAGCAAGGAGACATGAAATTCAGGAAATAATCGAATGCCCGGCGGTAATTCGAGTTTGTAGCGGTCGGGGCCTGTTATATCTATCACGCGATAAGGACCGATAAATCTTGCAGCAAATTTCGAGCTCCGTCCGTGCCGAGATGGTCTATATCCAGATTGCGAGTATTGAGGAGCACGTCGTCGCCAACCTTGTAAGCTGCGTGTGGTCGATTCTTGTCGTGCTTTTTCTGCCAATTTGTCTGAGCTGCTGCGATAGCGTCGCGTGCTTAACCCAGAATTGCCTGCTGGTGTTCAATAAATGTTGACGCTGGGCGTTGAGGCGGAGTTGACGTAGGAATAATGCAATCGGCCACCGAGTGAGGTTCGTAACCTAAGTCTGCCATGAATGGAGACATTCCAATTGACTCGTGGTTTCTTGAATTATAGGCGAATTCTGCCAGAGGAAGGAGCTCGTCCCAATTATTGTGATGTGGGTCAATAAAGTGCCGAAGATATTCCGCCAGAACCTTGTTCGTGACTTCGGACTGTCCATCTGTGAACGGCTTGAACGCCGTACTGATGTGAAGTGCTGTGCCCTGTATTTCCATGATATGTTTTCAAAGTTTAGACGTACATTTTGAGTCTCGATCGGAGGTAATGAAGTTAGGAAGGCCATGGAGACGTTGGTAAAATCGGAAAATAGTGTGGCTGTCTTTTTCGCGGTCGCGTTCGACGTGGTTGGTAGAAAGTGTGCTCACTTAGTGAGCCGGTCCACTATAACACGAATCGCATCAAACTTGCTGTTTGTCCGAGGTAATTGCGTCATAAAATCCATGCTGATGTCTTTCCAACGTTGTTCTGGGATCTCTAGGGGATGCAGATGTCCTGTTGGCTTGCCGCGTATGTCCTTATTTCTTTGGCACATCTCGTGTGACGGGGTCACACAGCACCTTGCGCTAGAGGAAGTTATCTTCCGAGAGTATACAAACTCTCAGTGAACGGCAGTTCACAGGTCCCCTCTTTAATTAAAGAGAGCGAAGTGACCTAAATAAGGTAGATTGTAAACTGAGTATATTTATAGGTAGGTTAAGTTTGTGGTTAATACAAACTATCAGTTACCTATAGAAATGCAATGTCATTTAACCAATGGTTGGTTTTGAATGACC